TTCTATGATTCCATGATTCTATGTGCTCGCAACAGCCGCATCCGCTGGCGTGTGGCAGGCAGCTGAAATCAGGTTTGGTTTTCCTGGGCCCCCACCCCTGCCCCCGGTCCCACAGTCACTCTCAGTGAACTGAAGTGGTTCCTCAAGCGCTTAGAAAGTTAAATTAAAAGAAGGACATTGAATGTAATTCTCTTAGACTCTTTTAATATTTGTTCACAGTGCCTTATAAAACTAAGTATGTTATAAAAATACTCTTTTTCCAGCTCAGGGAAAACACTGCAACACAGAGTACAAAGAGTCTTTAAGATTTCTCTATTTCTCCAGCAATTTAGTATTCGTCTGGGAGCGCGTAGCAGCGATACGGTCATCCCTCCCCGCGTACATTCAGCAACCCACTGAACACCGGTACAAGTCAGCGTTAAACGCGAGCTGCGCTGCGCTTGGCCGCCACGGTTGTTTAAGAACCGGTTTCGGCTGTTAGTGCACTAGTGTCGCCGTTACTCCACCCACCCTGGAGCAGAGAAACAAATTCTACACAAGCGAATTTGTCAATTCAGATTAAAAAAAAAGCCCCACCCTCGTCTGTTCGTCTGCCTTTCACCGGCCTCGGGCAGACACTGAGGCGAAGGGGGGGACACGGAGGGGATAACCAGACCCCCAAACCGACGCGCGCAGGTTGTTATTTTACGCCGCGGGCGAACTCGGTTACTCGCAGCAGGTTAGCGGGGGCGAGGGGGACGCTGAGGAGCCGGGGACGAGTCCCCGTCTCTGGGCCTACACGCCTTCAACGCTAGCGCCAAGGCCCCCAGGCTGGGAAGGTTACAAGGGATCGTGTGTTTTACTAGAAGGCTGTTACAGCTTTCCTGGAAAAGGTTACCCATCGAGACACGCTTAGTGCTACGTCTTCGGCCGGGCTGGGTTAGCTGCCATTCCTAATCCCGGCTTTCACGTAGGACGTAGGAGAGGCCATGTTTCCCTGAGGAGTCGTAACTGTCATGGTAGGGGAGGCCGACCCACTCGGGCGGGTACGTCATCGTGCTGTACACAAAGCACTCCACGACGCCCTCTGCGGCTGCCCGCGCCTCGCCCACGCCACCCTTCCCTTCCCATTCCACCACCTCGATTCTCATCAGGGTGCGCTGGTACATGTCTGGGCAGCCTTCAAACTCATCCAGGAACCGCAGCATCTGGTCGTCAACCGAGTAAATCTCCCCAGCAACGCGGTGTCCCCTCCCCGGGATGTTCAGCATGTAGGGAATGTTGTATTTTCCTGCGATCACCAGCGGGTATTTCTCCACCGTGCGTCCCCTTCCTTGGAATTTCGCTAGCCCCTTGGCCGTGTTGATCATGTGCTTGTAGTTGGGCTGGCCCTTCTTAAGCGTGCCGTAGACAAAGACACGGGCCATCGTACCTGCAAAAGCAGCTGAAAGACAAAAGGCGTGCGTTAGCTCACGGGCAGCTCGGGAGACCCGCGCCCATGCTATGGCCGGCTGCGCGCGCAGCACTGCTCGGGTGCGTGCGACCGTGGTCTTGTAGCCCTGTGCCTCGTTGAGATGCGGTACCAAATTCAACTCTCTCTCTAAACTTTGCGGTCACAACCTGTAACGGCAAAATGCAGGCACCAGCAGAAGGTCAGCCGTGCCGTTCTTTGCTGTAATCAAATTACATCCCACAGTTTCTCCGAGGAATTCCCAACACAGGCCAACGCAGCCTTGGGAAAAGGGCCGAGCCTTTCTTCATTTTCTTCCCCCCTACCCATCACCATGATGGGAGCCATCCCAGTGATGGAAACAAGCTCCACGTAGCATGGGGGGGGTGTATAAGAATAAAACCAATCGGAGCTCAGTCCCGCTAAGCGGACGCCTCCCTGTGCTCTCCCACTACATTTCTGGTTTACGCCTCGCCCAGGTCAAACCCGGTTAGTACAACGTGCAGGAGGGAAGCCACAGTTTGTTTTCCCTTGCTGGGGGCAGGGTGTTGGTTTGTACAGCCTGTACCGATGGTCACGCGCTACCCGGGTCACCTGGCGCTGCCGCCTCGGGGTGCAGACCAGCACACCCTGGGGAAGCGCCTTCCCTCTTCTGCCGGGGCTCTGCCTTCACCGGCGCTTGGCAGCTGGGAAACAGCACCGTGTTCAGCCGCAGAAGAGCCCCGCTGTAGTTCGGGTGCTGCTTTGCTTCGCGGTAAGGCGAAGCACAATGGCATCAATCACCTGAAAGCAAAGCTTCGGTGTTCAAATTTTGGATCGCTGCGGCTCCAGGGAGAGGAGCGGGGTGGCCCACAGCAACCTCATCCCTGGGCGAGCGGGTGCTGTCTGAAAGGACCCGGCCGTCCTGCTCCTTCAGGGGACGGCAGTGCCACGGCGATGCCAATGGCTCTCCTGGGCGCTGCCGGTAAACCCTGGGCGACAAACCTGGCTTTGCAGAGCTGGTAAGCCCAGACACAGCGGCGTTCACAACCACCTTTGCCCTTCCTGTCCGGGGGAGCCGTACAAATGTCATTTCAGCGTGGGGATGGGGTGGGAGGGGGATGTGGTCTGTCAGCCCTAACACAACCGGAAGCTCGTGCAGCTGCAGATGGGTAACGCCGCGCGCCTCCCCTCCTCCCAGAGAGGTGCCCCGAGGTGCTGAGCCGCCTGAAGTACCGACCGGCCCGTGTGCTAGCCCTCTCTTCAAAACAGCCCCTGAACGATGCTCAAGCCGTGAGCAGCAAACAGTGAAAGTTGGTCCGAGTGGGATACGAGGCCGGCTTTAGTAAAGGCTGAAAACAACCCCCAACCCCTCGCAGTTCCTGGGTCGCTTCCCACGCTGCGCCCCTGTTCGTCCCCCATCGCCTCTCTCGGGCAGCGGCAGCTCCTGCACCGCCTGATGGCTCC